TCATTCCCATGGGAATGAGCAATGGAAATCAATTTCTTAGAGAGTTGATGGGGTTTCCTTCTCTGGACATGTTCAAAAAGAGTCTGGACAGCTCCCTGCTGGGGATGCTTTAGCTGGAGATCCTGCATTGAACAGGGTGTTGGACTCAATGGTCCATGAGGCCCCTTTCAACTCTGATTCTATGAATCTATGACTTTAGTGTGGATGGGCCCATGGACAGGAATAGCTTTGGTATCTTGGATGTCCTGTTGCATGGTGGATGCTACCTTCAGGTTTTGAAGGTCGTCCTCCAAAGACAGTTTCATCACTTTAGATGAGTACTTTTACTTTGCTCATTGTCTCTGACAATGTCCAGCTTAATTTGTATTCATTTTAACTACCGTAATTAGTTTATGGTTTAAACAGCTCCTCAAAATTCACAAATTTTCTGCTCTTTTCTCCCATTGCAAATAGCCAGCTACTTCCTTCCCTCCCCAATTCAGACTGGAATTATAGGATGGGAGGATATTAAGGCATTTCCCCCTCTTGTCATAATCCATTATGCACACTAGAGCTACAGGACATTAATAATTCAATCTCTACTTTGACCATTAGAATTGATTCAGTTTACGAGGGCAAAGACCATGCAGTTGGGGGTAATCTGCCAGTTACCCTGTGCATGGAATTCCAGAAAGCTTTTGATACAATTCCTCAAACACATACTCTAAGGTAGAATCATGGAATCATAGAGTTGGGCAAGACCTCAAGGGCCATCAAGTCTAAGCCCTGCTATGCAGGTATACACAATCAAAGCACCCCCAACAGGTAGTCATCCAGCCTGTTTAGAAATCTCCATAAAGGCTCTTCCTAATGTTAAGGTGGAATCTCCTTTTCTATAGTTTGCATCTGTTTCTCTATGATGTCCTAGTCTCTGGGGCAGCAGAAAATGAATTATTCCATCCTCAATATGACATCCTTTCAAATATTTAAACAGGGATATCATATCACCTCTTAACCTTGTCTTCCTCAGGCTAAACCTAGCTGTTGTGCCATAAGACAACCCACTGTTGCTGATGCTATGGCACTATGGGAAATGGTGGCTTGTACCTTGCTACACTAGTAACAGAGATAAGCCATCAAGTAATATTCCCTGATGTTTCTCACAGCAGCAATTTAGGCTTCTAAGGCTTCTAAGGGTATGCTTCAGATCTGAACAAATCCTGATTTTTGTCTTGAACTCAGGTCCTTTAAAGTAGACCAAATCCAAATCT